TTAGAATGAGGTTAGAGAAAGAAAAGTCTTGGGTCCAAAATTGGTTCAGAAAACAGTTGATGGATGAATTGGAGAAAGAAAAGTCTTGGGTCCAAAATTGGTTCAGAAAATAGTTGATGCTATTGACAAGATTCGAAAAAGGATGAAAGCAGCTCAAAGTCGACAGAAGAGTTATGCCGATAAGCGTAGAAAAGATCTTGAATTTGAAGTTGGCGACAAGGTCTTTCTTAAAGTTGCTCCAATGAAGGGAGTTATGAGATTTGGACAAAAAGGAAAGCTCAGTCCTAGGTATATAGGGCCTTTTGAGATTTTGAAAAGAGTATAAAAACTTACTTATGAGTTAGCTCTTCCACCATCATTGTTTGGTATTCATGGTACATTTCATATTTTTATGCCCCACAAGTATATAGCTGATCCATCTCATGTTTTGAAGTATGAAGCTTTGGAGTTGAAACTAAATTTGTCATACGAAGAAAAACCAGTTCAGATTCTTGATAGAAGACTTAAGGAATTAAGAAACAAGAGCATTCCTTTGGTCAAGGTTCTTTGGAGAAATCAGTTAGTAGAGGAAGCTACTTGGGAAAAAGAGGATGAGATGAAGATCAAGTATCCATAATTTTTTGGTAAGCTAAATTTCGAGGATGAAATTTGTTAAGGAGGGGATAATTGTAATACCTGAGATTTAATTAAGCCTTAAGCCAATAATAAATAAATTTAGTAAATTAAAATCATGCACCACATTTACCATTTATCTCAAAATTATTTGTTGGCATTATATTTTATTATTATAGCTATCATATGATTTTATTAAACTTATAGCTTTGCTGATTGAGTTTTCAATTTTAATGTGTAGTGCAACTAGCTCGATGTGGAACTCAATATGCTAAACTTATGAAGAAAAAATGATATTTATTATGATTATTTGATATAATATTTTACCTCTATTATGATTGATTTAATGATGAATTATTATTTTATATTTTTATTATATGGTTTTATGTAAATGTGTTGAGGACTTAGTTGCTATTTTGAGTTTTTGTGAGAGAAGGCTATGTTAGCAAATTGAGTGAACTTTAGGCACCTAATTGAAGAAGAAAAATAGAGACTTTAGAGTTGATTTTATGAGGTTAGGACAAATGTTAGAGGCTTAGAAAAACCTAGACACTTGTCCTACTATAAGGTCACTTTACTTTTGTTTGGTCTCTCTCATGTTTAGACTTCATTTTTGGGTCTATTTTAGCAAAAAAGCCTAGAACTCCGACCATAACATTTTCTTCTCTCTTCTCACTCCTTTTCTCACCCAAAACTCAGAATTAAACCTAGGTTTTCAAGAGATAATGAGCTAAAAACTCAACCAGCTCATTTCAACTCGTTTTCAACCTAGAACCAAAAATAACCACCAAGGTTTTGAGCTTCTATTCACTTGGGAATACATTTTTCTTTGAGGTAACTTCTTTCTTATGTTAGAAACTAAGATATCAGAGATTAAATGTCGAAATCCTACTTGAGATTCAGATTTTTGATGTGGCTTATCATGCATGTTGATTGTAGACCCTTAAAAATGAGTTTCTTGAGGTTTTGGTTCAAATATTGGTTTCTGGGTGAAATTAATGATTTTAGCTTGATATTATTGATGATTATTTGAAGATAAACTTTTATTAGGATGATGATTCAAGTATTTGAGAATGGTCCTTGAAGATTAAGATCTGCATGCTAGGTATTTGATGAAATGTTCAAAAATAAGTCCTCTGTACAGCCCACGTAGATTCTGTTTTCGTGCTATATATACTTATGAGTTTGACTGATCTTATATTTTCCTATTAAATTATACATATCAAGCTTTACGTGAGTTTTTGAATCACTCTAAACGGATTTTTCTACATTTAGTTATGAATTTTATAAGTTCAGCTAAAAAGCTGAATTTTCCGAACAAGATTATACTTCAATCCGGATTTCGGGCTGTTTTTAGTTAGTTTGAAAAATCTGAAACCTATCATGTAATAGCTCTAAAAAGAGGGTTTTGAGTCTACTTTTATTTTCCACGGCTTCATAATATTTTGATGAATTTGTTATGACAACTAGAGAAAAATGATAGTGGGAAGTGTCTTGTTGATCACAAGAGAAAGAGATCCGCTTAGTGTTTAAGAGAAGAGAATTGGCCAAAATTAGAGAATGTCCTGTATAGAGAGGCTTACTTAGAACCGAAGTTCTGTATCATACCTAAACTAAGAATAAGTATGAAAGTTTATGAACAATGTTTAACAAAGAGATTTTAGCTACGAAGATTTTAGATACTACTTTATTTGAAATTTACTTACTGAGTTTTTGCTCATTAATTTTACCTTGTGATGCAGATGATGTTGTTGTTACCGAAGAGTAAAAAAAAATGATTTCGAAGATTGGCTGAGTACTCCAAGTCCTACATCTGGCGTCTTACTTATATGTACTTCCAAGCAATAGATTGGCTCAAAATATTTTTTTTTGTTACTATGTCGCTTTTGAATAACTATTTAATGTCTAGGATTGTGGTTGTAATCATTTTGCACACTGACTCATTTTTTTAAAAAACTTTTACGAAAATTTTGTGATGAAATCAACCACAAATTTCTGCATCTTAAAAATGCCATTATTTTAAGTATAGAAAGTATGTTTTAAATATCATCATCTTGCTAAATTCTTGGGAGCGTTACAGTTATTATTGAAATTAAATAAAAGTACATGGGAGAGAGGAGTAAATTCTCTACTCAAATTTATTAAAAAGAAAAGGTAATAAGACAGGACCTTACTAAAAAAAATAGAAAAAGAAAACAACTAAAATGTAAGATGAAATCATAAATATAAATTAGTGGAATGTAAAACAAGTTTTTCCCTTGAGGCACACCTTGAATAAGTATTCCTTTCTACCTCGAACCACCTGTAGACTCATACAAAAAAAAAAAAAAATACAAAAACAAAAATGTTTTATGTCAGCTAGCATTTACCTTTGGTTTGGGAAACTGCGATAAATCGGTATTGTCTTGTATTTTGTCATTTGTTTTTTTTTATGACATCTAATGGTATCAATAAAGACTCGTTTAAAAAATATATTCAAATTCAAATAATAATTTTACTATAATATTTTTTTATCTCATAAAGAATTTAAATTTTAAAATTCATTCTCTCACAAGATTCTCGGCAATGAACACAAATCATGAAAAATAACTAATCATCAAACTTCTTTAATTGGGCATGAGAGACTCACTAGTCAGCGTTCACCATCTACTAATTAGCATCTCTTGATGCTCCTTAAATTTCACGTTTCAATCAATATGTATCGACTATTAAATGCTCACAAAGATAGTTTGATCAGCCAAAAAAGATGACAATTATATGGTCCATATCCAATACTTACATTGATACTATCATGTTTTTATGTGTGTGGATGTTTTGTGTGATTGATAACTTCTTCGATTCCACTATTCACTAATCAAGTGAGACAAAATGTATTTTTGTCCTTGAAAGGACAATGGCCCGTATCAAAAAACAAAGGACAATGACGAAAAAAAATTATATTTTAAAGGAAGATATATTCGATGATTCATGCGATACTTCAATAGATAGAAAGAGGGAATGAATAACATAGTTGGCAATTTTGAGTTCATTTTAATTAATTGATGGTTATGAAATATCTCATGGATTATAATTTTCTTTAGCACTACTAAGAAATTATTTGAAAGGTAATATTGGTTCTTATTTTTTTTACTGTTCAGTAATTATTGTAATTACCAGTAGTTATGATAATGCAATATTAGTCTACTGAATAATTACTAATAGTCTACTGATTATTGTAAGTACCAATAGTCGACTGAATAATTTTTCTATTCTTATAGTTGTTTTGTGATAATTAGTCACAAGACAATAATAATCACAATCAGTACTATTTAAATACTTTTTATTAGTGGTATTAAAAATTTTACCATGTATCACTTATTCCTACATGCTTTTTTATTTTTTATTTTATTTTCTTGGCGTGAAAAGTTTAGAACAGCACGCGTTCTTAAAATCCTTGAAAAAAGAACATTTAAAAAAATCCTTAAAAATAATAAAGATTTAAAACTCAAACGACATGTCGCTTAATTACAACTTTCAAGCATTCAACGGTATTTTGACCAAATTCTCAAACGTGACGTGACAACGGAATCGTTCCCTCTCGTACATCCCCAATGAAAACGACAAACAAGGAAGCATGAAGAAGAAATGCTCTCTGCGAGTGTGTGTTTGGAACTCATTTTAAAATAATTTTATTTTTTATATAAAAATAAGAATAAAAATATTTTTATAAATATTTTTAATTTTAGATAAAAATTAATTTTAAAAATGTATTTAGTAGTTTTATCAAGAGATTATTTTCAGTATAAGAAGAAACCGTTTTAAAAAATGAAAGTCATTTTTTATTTTTATTTTATTTTATATTAAATTAAAAATTTATTTTTATTTATTTTATCTTTAATTATACCAAATGTTGTTTTAAAATTATTTTTTATTTTTTCTTTCTTAAAAATCGTAAAAAATAAAAACGAAAACAACTTTAAACAAGGTAAATAGTAATAACAACTAAAAAAATAAATATTATATGACCGGGCCATATAGAGAAGGAACACGCGCAACAACTTCTTTGGATTGGATTTGCCGACTTTGATCCAAACTTGTCTTTTGAGGTGTTGGTTGTGCATGGCAAAGCAGTGTACGCAAAATCATTAATTAAACAATACTGCATATATATATATATATATAGATGTATACACATTTCATATGTAACATTATTAACCATATAGACAAACACGTATGTACATAAAAGTCTCCGCTAATATTGATATGTGTATGTGTCATTACAATCAGAAATATTCTTTTAATCGGTTTTGTGTCTCTCTGTGATCGACTGATCAGAAGAAACCCAGAAATCAAAACCCACAGAAAATCTAGAGAGAGAGAGAGAAAGAGAGAGAAAGAAGAAGAGGAAGATGAGTTTAAGAGATTTGGTGACGAGGGTTGACGCGATATGCAAGAAATACGACAAGTACGACGTGGTGAAGCACAACGAAGCTCAGAATGTCGTTGGCGTCGATGCTTTTGCCCGTCTATACGGCGTCGTCGAGGCCGAGCTTGATTCTCTTCTTCAGGTAGTTTCTCTCTAATTTTTCTCATCTTGCTGTTAATTTCTTGCAGTTTAGTTTTGAAGTGGGGGTATGGTTTTTTTTTTTTAGGAAATTTCTCCGATGTTCCGTTTTTTTAAGAACATTAGTATTTTTTATTTTTTTAATTGTTAAATTTAATTAAAATCGTATTAAATTAAAAAAATATACAGAATAGATTCTCATATAAATTTAATAGTTAAAAAGTAATAAACACCGATGTTCCTAAACAAGAACACCAGAGAGAATACCGGAGAAAGTTTTTTTTTTTAATGCTTTCATCGAGTGTCTGCATTTAGTTTCTCTCTAAAAGTATTTTATGTTGATGAGATTATGGTGGATTTTCATTTTTTTAATATAGGAAAATTTTATAGTGTTTTCTGTACTTTCAGAAACACTGGATTTCTTACTTAACAACGGTTGGATATGTATAATTTTTTTAATCTAATTTGACTTTTTGTCAGATTTAATACATATTTGACAACTAATAAATAAGAAAAATCAATGTTCTTAAAAAATAAGAACACCAGAGAAAGTCCCTTTAATATAAATTATATTATCCTTTTGATTCGATTCAGTTTGTTTCGTGAGAAAACTAGATTAGAAACAATTGTAAAAAGAAAGATATTGAGACATATGTTTGATAATCTTTTTACAGTATGGCCTTCTACTAGTAGTGTGCATTTTTATTATTAGATCTGATCGAAATCACATAAAAATTAAAAAAATTGCAAAACAGTCTATGATATATGTGAGGTTAAAAAATAAAAAACTATTGGTAGTTCAGGTCCTACCATAAAAATCTTCCAGTTTCATATTTGAAATTATTTAGCCAAACCTAAAGCCAACGCCACACCGAAAAGAAAACATAAGTTGCAAGGTGTTCAAATCATATACTTGAAATCAGTGTGATGTCTCTACTTACAAGGAGTTCTAGTCATATCTATAGCTTTCATGCATTGCTAACTTACAAGTAAAATTTTCGAACTGTTTGTGTTTGCTTTAATACTGCTCGCACTTTGTTTGACCGCTAAAGAGATTAGAATTTGTATGAATGTCTCAGTGACATTTTGTCATGTATATTGTCAATTGCTTTTTAACGCTTTTGCAAGAAATCGGAGGCTGCGGCGACGGAGAAGAACAGGGCAAGAGCTGTTGCTATGAATGCGGAAATTCGACGAACCAAGGCTCGTTTGCTTGAGGAACTCCCAAAATTGCAGAGGCTTGCTTTCAAAAAGGCATTTTTACCTTCTCTATACTTGCGTATTTGCTTCTTTGTTTATGCAGTACTAGTAGTTACTCCTATCTCTATTCTTCTTATGATGCTTATAAAAATGGATTTATTAGTAATTCTTGCCTATGGCGGAGCCCACTTAAGGACGAGTGGGGATGCTGAGTTTTTTTATTTTTAATTTTTTAAAAATAACCTTTAAAATTTTGTGATTCTCTAATTTTTCCTTATTAAGGTATGGTTTTTTACATGTTCGTCCCACTGAACTTTACATATTCTTATTTTTGCTTTGCTTGTATGCTTCAAGAAAAAAAATTAGTGTCTGCCTCCAGTGAAGTAGAAGTCTGGACTGCTTTTCCCATATATGTAGAGATATATGTATAGTTATATACACACACACACACACACAAAAAGATAAGACTCCAAATTGCAATTGCATTTGTTTGTGACTCATTTGATGGATGCACTTACTTAAAAATGAAGATTCATGTATAGGTCAAAGGGCTCTCAAAAGAAGAGGTCGAGGCAAGAAATCATGACTTAGTATCCACAATTAAAGAGAGGATTGAAGCAATACCAGATGGAACTTCAAATGGAGTCAAACCAACTGAAGTTTGGACAGCTTCAACCTCTTATACAGGAATCAAGATTGATTCAACTTCAGGCAAGATTGTTGGCTTATATAAACCGAAATCTCTGTAGACAAGAGATCTATATTCAATGTTTAGCATATCCTATGATAGTAACTTTGTTTGAACCGTTAAATTATTAATTATTCTAATGTATGATTAGTTTATTTTTTGCAATATAAAAGCTTCCAGATAAGATAACTACATTTGTTCCTAACTTCTTCAATTTGAACTTAAACTCAGATGGGAGATTTGGCGGTGAGTACTTTCATCAAACAGAGGAGACCGATCGGTTTAGGCACGAATACGAAATGCGAAGAATGAAACAGGCAAGTTTTGGAACCTTTCATTTTTTAGCAGAACAGCCGTTCTCATTTTTAAGTATTGTTCGTTTTTTTCTTTTTCTTTTTTCTTTTCTGATATTGCATATGTTTTCAAAGAAAAGAAAAGACCCCATTTTCGTAATTCGCTGGGAATCGTATTTGGTAAAAACAACAATGCTCTTTGGTATTTACAAAGAGGAAAGGAGCAGAATAATTTTTAAAGTGCATGAGTCTAAATTTTTATCTCTTACTATTAATTTAATAAATATCTTTTGTGAAATAACTAGATTTGTCATAAGGGTATGAATAAGAGGTAAAATCAAGATCCATTTGTTGTTTTTTTTTTTTTTGTTTGTTAAAAGCTTAGGAGCACTTGTGCTTCCAGTCTTTCAGCACTGACCCTCTTCTTCTCTTATCTCGTTGGTAAAGTGATGGACTAGTAGTAACATACTTGCTGGAAAGTTTTACTTTGGCTACCTTTTTGCTACCGTTTTGTGCTCTTTCTTTTTCCCAAAGTCAAGTTTTGTTTCACTGTTCTCTTTGTTTTTTCCCCCACCAATTGCTTCCCTTCTCAAAAGCATATTTTCATGCTGTTTAATTGATGGCTGAAAGTTTTCAAGGTACTATTGTAAAAATGGTCATTCTCAATTCTTAATCTTGAGCCGATAGGCTTGGTAGGAAAATAACTTGAGGCAGAATTAACTGTTTGTAACTCTCTTGTAATTTCAGCATACATGATATGTCACATATGTCCCGAGCGAAAGGATTATGATACTATGCGATATTACAAGTACTTCTATTTGTTCCTATAGGCTTTTAACCTCGTTCTTATGTGTCAATTTTTGATAGGCTAAAACACTATTTTTAGTTTGAAAGTGATTTTTTTTTTATTTTTTTTTTAACATGGGTTCCATTAGACAGTAGATACAAGGCAAATTAAGGTGAGTATTTTTTTTAGTAGGAATGGGTTAAGATTCTAAACAACGTATGGTTAGATTTCTTTATTATTAAATAGACACACACAGATATACAATTTTTTTAATTCATTAAAGGCAAATATAAAATCGTTCAAAATTTTGCATTCAATAAAAAATTGAAATCTCAATGAGAGCATGTACCCCAAGATCTATTATGGCTCTCATTTAAGGGTAAAGCTGCCTTGGGTCCGCCACCCCCGTCACCCCTATTACTGAAAATTTTAATTGTCACATGTACATAATTATTTAAAAAAAAAAAATCAATTAGACCTAAAGTTTTGACTTTTAAGTAAGTTTTTATTTGAAACTTAAAGTCTCAAGTAAATAAAAATCCACCATGATAGCGAGTTCTGTGAGAGCCCTATCGTGAGCTTGTCTCAACTCCACCTTCTTCGGGGTGGCAGTTTACTTGTTCTCAGCTTTTGGAGAACTAAGTGCTGAATCAATGGAGGATATCTATGATAAGTGGAATTTTCTCTCTATAACAGCGGATGAGGAAAATGTTGTGGGGATCGACAACTCCCTGCTTGATATGGGCAAAGAAGCAACGAAACATACTGATAAGACCTTCAATAAAAGGGTCTTCAAATCAACTATGGCGCATGTTTGGAATATTCCAAGATCAAAGAGGTGGAAGACAACTTGTTTATCTTCTACATCGATCATGAAGATGATAAAAGCAAGGTTCTAGATGGAGAGCCATGGCTCTTTGACAAATCTCTTCTGGTCCTCAAGGACATAGCAGAAATGGACTCAATGCAAGGAGAATGCTTGACTCACACAAAGTTCTGGGTCCAATTCCGTCAGAGATTTCTCCTTTACTGGGTATAATTCTTGGTGAGGAGATTGGTACAAGCTTAAAGGTGGACTAAGACCGGAAGGGTAGGTGTGCTGGAAGTTTTCTGAGGGTTCGGATCCTAGTGGACATTACGAAACCCCTGCGGACGCTCGTGAAGACTCGACTCGGCAATTCGAGGCTGATCATTTGGCTCGAGTTCAAGTACGAGAAGCTACCAGACTTTTGCTTCCACTGTGGGCGTATTGGGCATACTTGGAAGCAATGTACTGCAAAGGATGCACCGTCGGAACCACCGGAGGCTGGATTTGGTTATGAAAATAGCTTGAGAGGTAATACTCCGAACAGATTTACTGGAACCTTCAGAGTACCGGGAAGATCGCTGGCGGCACAAAATCACCGGATGGGAAAACAATCAGGCAGGACGCAGGAGCATTGGGATGGGAAGGAACGACGTTTCGCCTCACAAGGCTCGTATTGGACATCCCGCCCACGAGGGGGAGAATTCCGAGGGTCGTGGATGGCTGCACAATAGAGAGGGGACACGTGGAGCTGCTTTGTCAGGAGTTTTGGCGGCTAATTCCTCATGTCAATATGAGGAGGTAATCGAATCGACTAGAGGAAAAGCACATCTTGAAGGAAACGACAACACCAATTTGTCGTTTGGTAATGTGACTGAGCACATGACAAGGAGGTGCCAAACCTCACATTGGGCCTAAATGTGAAGGAAAAAGCACTGGTCATATTGGAGGAGACAGACCAACCCAAGTCCACTCACGACCACTCTAAACGAACCATCCCCCGTCATTTTAGAGAACAACAAGACAGAAGACATTAGTTGCATAAATCCCTTTTATTTTTGCCGCAGTTGAGCAAAATTAAGATGGGAAACATGGGCGATTGACGGGAGCAAAATCAACAAAGGGCAATAAATCTAGCAACATTGCTCTTAGGAGTTAGAAACGGAGAGCAATGAAAGATGACAATTTGGGAGAATCACCTCTCCCTATTGACGATGCAGAAGATGGTACGATAAAGAGGAAAAGAATTACTAAAGATTCAGAGGACAGGGGAGGTAAGACTAGAAAGGTCCCTATGGGTCCTGTTGATGATATACCAGCGGTGGGCACTGCTTTGCAGGCCCACCGACAACAATGAATCTCTTAATTTGGAACGTTTGGGAGTTGGGGAAGCCTCGGGCGTTCAAATGCTTGTGGAGGCTGCTCCGTAAGCACAAACCCGGACTGGTCTTTCTCTCGGAAACTTGACTGTGGGGGAGAAAGGCGTGCAATTTAAAATTTTGACTAAATTTTTGTTAAAGTATTAAATTATTGTTGATTCACTTCATAATTTAAAAATATTTTTAAGAGAGATTAATAAATTCCGAAGGTCGTCGATGGCTGCACAATAGAGATAGAGAGGGGACACGTGGAGCTGCTTTGTCAGGAGTTTTAATATTGGCTCACCTCATAATTTAAATTTTTAAGAGAGATAAATAAACTAACGTACAGAGCGAAAAGTTTTGAGTTTAAATTTTTATAATTATATTTTTTATTTTCATTTAAATTGTTATTATATGTTGAATTTTTAATATATCTCATATTTAAATATTTACGTGTTAAATTTTTTAATTAATTTACTCACATAATTATTCATTATCTAGTTACATGTGAGGAGAGCGTTAAAATATTAAATTATTATTAGTCCACCTTTTAAAAGTTTTAAGTTGTTGACATTGATAAACTAACAGTTTTCTAAACGGTTTAGTGTTGATAGTATTGGTAGAAATGGGGGCTTAGTAGTTTTGTGGAACGGTGAGGTTTTCGTTGATTCCATGTTGACATGCTGGTGTCTATCGCTAATGGCCCTTGGTGGAGATTCATTGGGTTCTACGGTAATCCGGGGAGGTCGACGAGACACATCTCGTGGGAACACTTGAGACGAATTCGGGACAATTTTTCGCTTCCTTGGTTGTATGGGGGAGATTTTCATGAGGTCCTATTTCCTTCTGAACATGTTGGTGGTAATGATCGAAGTGAGTGCAATATGAGGGCCTTTAGAGAAGTTATGGAGGATTGTGAATTGCATGATTTGGGGTTTCGTGGGGAAAACTTTGACGTGGGATAATCGGCGAGGAGAAAGGAATAACGTCCAAGCCCGATTGGATAGATGTTTTGCGACTTCGGGGTGGCGAAGCTTTTTCCAACTGCTTGTGTTTCGCATTTGGATTTTTGGGGTTCGGATCACCGGTTTCTGTCTGTGGAGCTTCTGGCAGCGGCCCTGACAGGGCCGGGGTTGTCGGCGGGCACTCGAAATGGGCGTTTGACCCACTTTATATGTTGAATGAGGATTGTAGGGGAATTATTGAAGAAGCTTGGATGCTCACTATGGAAATTGGGGACGGAGGTAATATTACTGGGAAACTTTCTCACTGTCAAGATGCATTAACTTCATGGAGCTCTGCCACCTTGGGATGTATTCCGAAAAGAATATCAAAGATCCAAAATGAGCTGCGATCTCTGTATAGAATGAGTAGGTCGGAGGATAATCTGACCCGTATTTGATGCAAGGAGAAGGAACTTGACCGTTTACTGGAACTAGAAGACTACTATTGGTGCCAACGTGTGCGGGCGGGCTGATTGGCTTAAGGGGAAACAGAAACACTAGTTTTTTTTTCACGAACGGGCGTCTCGAAGGAAGGCTAGGAATGAAATCAAAGGAATTGAAGATGAATGCGGTAATTGGCTCACTAATGGGGATGAGATTCTCGGTGTGTTGTGCATGTACTTCGCTCATAGTTTCTCCATAACCAATCCCTCAACCTCGGTCATTGCAACTGTTACAGAGGTACTGGACCACTCTCTTCCTCCACAAATAAAAGTAGAGACAGATGAGCTTTTCAAAGGAAGTGATGTCAAGAGAGCTCTCTTTGACATGGGTCCCACAAAAGCACAAGGCCCAATGGTTTCCATGCTATCTTTTACCAAAAAATTCTAGGGGATTGTCGGGCCAGATGTTTCAAAAGTTTGCTTGGAGGTGCTCAATGGTAAGAAGTCAGCGGCTCCCCTTAATAGAACGAATTTGGTGCTCATCCTAAAAACCAAGAATCCAAGGAAAGTGTCTGACTATCGCCCCATTAGTCATTGCAATGTTGTCTTAAAGATTATTACTAAGTCCATTGCTAATAAGATCAATGATATTCTCCCCCTCATCATTTCAAAGTGCCAAAGCGCCTTCATTCCAGGAAGACTTATATCGGATATGTCATTACCGCCTTTGAGATCTTGCATTCTATCCGGAGGAAGGTATTGGGGAAAAAAGGTGCTATGGCTCTAAAGCTTGATATGAGCAAGGCGTGAGACCGAGTTGAGTGGTCTTTCTTAGAGGCTATGCTTAAACGCCTTGGTTTCAGGGACCGATTGGTAGGAGTAATCATGGACTGCATCTCTACACCAGTTTATTCTTTTGTCATTAATGGCTTCCAATGTGGGGAGGTGCGCTCAAGTAGGGGTCTTAGACAGGGGTGCCCCCTCTCACCATACCTTGTCCTCATTTGTGCTGAAGGATTCTCAGCTTTGATTCGTCAACATGAGTGACTTGGATTACTGGAAGGCTTTGCGTGTGCCAGGGGAGCTCCTAGAGTGAGCCACTTATTCTTTGCAGATGATAGTGTCATCTTCTGTCGTGCAAGTTTAGATAATTGTGGAGCTATCAAGTATGTTCTCTCTGCTTATGAGGAGGCTTCGGGGCAGGCTGTGAATTTGGATAAGTCAATTTGTTTTTCTCCTAATTTAGATGAAGATTTGATTGAGCATATTAAGGGAGTGCTCTGCCTTGATAGCAATCAGAAGTTGGACACGTATTTGGGCCTTCCTTCTTTCATTGGCAGAAACAAAAGAAAGGCATTTCAAACTATCAAGGAGCGGGTGGGGAAAAAGTTGCAGTTGTGGAAAACGAGATTCTTCTCATCGGCGGGTAGAGAAGTTCTCATTAAGGCAGTTGTGCAGGCGGTTCCCACATATACTATGAGCGTTTTCCGCCTTCCATCCTCACTCATTCATGATCTCTAATCGTTGACGTCAAATTTTTGGTGGGGAGGATTGGGCTCGAAGCGGAAGTGGGACTCTTTGATCAAGTTAAAGGGTAATGGTGGATTGGGGTTTCGTGACTTGGAGTGCTTTAATCAAGCACTCGTTGCTCTTCAAGCTTGGCGTATTATCTATAATCCGGATTGCCTTATGTGGAGAGTGCTTAGAGCAAAATACTTTTTCTTCACCGACTTTCTTAATGTCGAGCCGAAGAATAATGGGCCCTTTATGTGGAATAGTATTTTGTGGGGTAGAGACCTTATACGCCGGGGAGTGAGATGGCAGGTAGGCATAGGTAGATTTAACGCCTTTGACACTCCTTGGATTCCAAGGCCTTATACTTTCAAACCAATCACGTGCACTCCGGACGATGAAAGAGGCCTTCTCGTTGCAGCTCTCTTGGTCAATAGGAGGTGGGACGTTAACAGAATTATCGAGTTATTTTTACCTTTGAATAGGGATGCTATTCTTGGTATTCCTATTAGTTCGGCTACACCTACAGATTTGTTAGTGTGGCACTATGAGGAGAAAAGGCTTTACACAGTCCGCTTAGGATACTGGCTTACTGTGAATTTTAAGACGGAGATCAATGGCGAGAAGAACTGGTGGAACCTCCGGAACCTAAAGATTCCTGGTAAGATTAAGCATTCCATTTGGAGGGCATTCTATGATGTTCTTCCAACTTTTGGAAGTCTTTGTAGGAGAGGAATCAAACGTCTCCCTTTCCACTGATGCAAGTAAAGTTGTCTTTTTTGTTCAGTCCAAGTGCTTTACTGGTCTACACGGTGCTTTGATCAGAGATATTTGCTCCCTCCTTTCTGAGGTTGATTGTACTTGTGTTTTAATCCCCGCTCAACAAATGGGGTTGCTCATAGTCTTGCCAATTTTGGCCTTAGATCAGGATCCTCTTTTTCTTAGTTGGATTCCCTTCTCCGTTGGCTTTCTAATGTAATTTGTATGGACTTCCATGATTAATGTTATCTCAGTTTCATTTAAAAAAAAAAAAAAAAAGTAAATAAAAATCCACTATACTATTATACAACTTCGCAAGTTGAGTCCAAGCTTTAAACATTAAGCTAACTTTAATCCCAAACTTAGTTCACTTTGAATAATAATAATTAAAAAAAAAAAGATACATACTTCGAATGAAGGCAAAATTGTTGCATTGTAATTTTATTTAAAAAATTTTGTTTTCACACTCAAAATTCTTGCCCATTGCTTCCACTGGCACCCATGACATTGTTACTATTATTATTATTATTATTATTATTATTATTATTACCCATTGCTACTATTATTTTAACATGAATGCTTTCTAGGCCATTTGTTAACATTGGTGATATTGTTTATGGAAAAAAGTCCTTGCTTGTGAATAGTTTTGGGTTTGATACAGGATGAAGATTTAGATGTTATAACAGAAGGATTGCACACATTAAAAGACATGGCCCATGACATGAATGAGGTTTGTTTCGAACCATTTTCAGATCATATCTCTCATACGAAAAATTTGATAATGGAACACGAGAATAAAGTTTTTGTCAGTTTATGCTATTGTTATTAATACACATAATGTTGTACAGGAATTAGATAGGCAAGTGCCCTTGATGGATGAGATAGATGATAAGGTAAACAAATAAAAACCTTAGGTCTTTGTTTTTTTTTTTTCGTACCCTTTATTTTGGTGAACTTTTTCCATTGTTTACATATTATATGGTTTCAATATCTCAATTTTATTTCCCTTCTGTTTGCTTCCTTCTAGGTTGACAGGGCAAATGCTGACCTTAAGAATACTAATGTGAGACTCAAGGAGACAATAGTTAAGGTACATAAAAAGCATTCTATTACATAACTGGAATTATAATTATTTTTTGTTTTTTTTTACTTTTTCTTATGGAATTTCTTATTATGATTTTTTTTTTCTTTCCCGTGGAATCCTTGTTATAATTTTGTTTCAGCTGAGGTCTAGCCGAAATTTCTGCATTGACGTCATCCTCTTAAGTATAGTTTTGGGAATTGCTGCCTATTTATACAAGTAAGTTTGGTAGCTTAAATTATACTATAGCATTAAAGCATAGAATAACTTCTGTTGTTATAGTCTTTCACAAGTGAAAATTTAGTCGGGACCCTTTTTTAACCTTGCAGTAGAAAACGGAGAAATTAAACTCTTGTCAGTGAATTGAAAGTTCTAGAGTTTATTGGGGAAAAAAAAAAAAAACAGAGGAGCTATTTAGATGTTTATAGTGTGTCACCTCAACTCATATATAAGATACTAAATTGTAGATTCAACATGACTAACCTCCTTTATCATTTTTGAAAAAGAAAAAAATCATTGGTCTTAAAATTAGATCTACTAAACATTAGACAAGGCTTGTTATTTTACTCTTGTTCCATAATTTGTTTAGATTAATTTCCTTTTCAAAGCATATTTTTAAATGACTACTTATGAGAACTCTTTCACACTTCTTAGATTTCTTTATGATCAGAACGCTTTAATCTTTTAGAAAATAAATATGTTAAAAACAAATGACGTGAATATTTACTAAGTTATTGAATTCCATGTCCTTTTGTTTTGGGTAGAATATTGAATTCTATCTTCTCTTGCTCTTTTGTGTCTTGACCTCATTTAAGACCTATGGGACAGGCTTATGGCTGTCCTCTTTTGCATGAAACGTTTGTTTGTTTGCTTTTTTTTTTTTTTGTGGGCTAAAATGTTTGTTGGTTGTGGGGCAACTACTGCAATGAGGATTTTGTTTATATATATATATATATATATATATATAAACCTATATACATGTATCACAAAAGACAGAAAAAAAAAAAATCTCTCCCTTCATACATATATATATATATATATATATATATATATATATATATATAATTGCGACGAGGATTCTTCCACTATTGTCGTGCTTCCCTTTTTGTTTGATAAAGACATGAGTTATCTTTTCCTCTACATACGGACTATATGATTTATTAGGCGTTTTGTATGGTCCATATTAAGCCCTACAATTCAATGAAAATCTTGTCCACGGAATTGATGTAACACAGATTACATTGTAAATCAGATTATACAAAAAGTTACGGAGTTTCTTTAATAATGCAATTACGTTTATCAAGTTAATCACATTTTTTCTTTTTCTAATTGTGTTGTAACCGTTCAATTAACATGTCGTTATGAACCTTATATGACTTAAAAAAAATTAAGTCCATAAATTAATGGAGTTAGCAGGGAAGGGCCCACTTAATTTAAGTCCAGTAGTTACTATTTAATTTAATTAATTCTTACCTAATTTAAATACAAGTATTAAACTAATTTGACTTATTCAACTATAAAATCAAAGTTGAACTCCTAAATTATGAGAACATTATAATGAAGCTTTGAATAATAATTTCAAGCTTGTCTATCGATATAAACTAATTTTTATGTATTAACCATCCACAATAGATATCTTGTTAATCTCTTTAATTACTTATTTGTCCTTTGTGATCTAATCATAAATAGTTTGGTTTATTAATATCAACATTTCAAATAAGTTTTAGGTCTTATTTACCCAAGTCTTGAATTAATACTAACACAAATTTTATTTCTCTTCACAATGGAATTGTAGATTCCATGTCTATGATTAGTGCTCCAGCTATCAATGTTATCATGTCTCTAAAATGTCTTGATTTTAATCATTAATTAATATAATAAATGGATGTGAGATCATTAGAGTTGAAAATTTAGATCGAACTAACTCAACTCAGCAACCCGAATGGTGAAATTGGATTGGGCTGGCCCATTCTAAGTGGGACGAAGGTTGGCCTAGTCCCGCCCGCCCAAAGCCCGTGACCTGAGATGGGTGGGGTCAAACCAAACCTTTATAAGGCATAAAAAAAGAAAAAAAAAGAGATAAATATCACTCAAAAGTATATGAGTTAAGATCTTTACCTCTTATTTTTAATTAATAATTTTTTTAATCAATAGCTATACTAGCAAAATGGTATTAATTAAGAATGATGGGTAAAAAGTTCTCTTAAGGGTGGATTCTGCAATTTTATCTTAAAAAAAAAACTTAAGAAAGTATTTCGAAAAAGAATTAAAGTTATATATGAATCTTTTATTAAAACAAAAACTTAAGTAGTGAGACATTTGAAAGGAATTATTTAAATTAAAACAGAGCGAGGAAAGTAAAGTATTTTAAAGAAAGATAGTGTAAAAAAATGAATGGTTAAAGAATATTAGAGAAAAAAATAAGTGAAAAGAAGAAAAAAAATAAAATAAAGTTAAAAAAAAAGAAAAAAGAAGAAAAAAGAAGATAAGAGGAATAATTTAAAAAAATAAAGCTATATAGTTTTTGACAAAAGCAGGCACATATTTGAAATGAATTATTTAAAAAAAGTAAGAAAATGATTGTATTTTAAAGAAAGATATTGTAAAGAAAATGAACTGTTAAAGAATATTAGAGGTAAAAACTAAAGAGACAATAGGCAAACAAAAAAAACCAGAGAGAAAAAGTTAAAAAAAGAGAAAAAAAAGAAGAAGAAAAAAAGGAGCCAACACGTGACTTAGCCTACTTAGGAGTCGATAGTCGTTAAAAGATTAAACTATAAAAGAGCATTAGTAAAATAAAAAAAATAGAAAAGAGCAAAACATACATAAAAAATAAAATTAAAGATGGAAAATTTTTTTTAAAAAAAGGTGGGACTACCTTGTGGCGGCCTTGAGAAGTGTTCTATGTGAGCACTGTAGAAAAAGTATGTGTAAAGATAAATTTTGATATAACATAAATTAAATGAAAAACAATTAAGTAGGGACGTACAAGTCAAGCTCTTTTCATTCGACCACAAGAGTCGGTTATGGAATAGTCTTTTAGAAATCTAAAAAAAAATTATTTCAACCATTTACAAAAAATAAATAGAAATGCATGAAAAAATCAATTTTAAAAGACTAAAATGAGGAAAAAAATATATTTTAAAAAACACACGTACAAAATTAAATTGTTAAAAAATTCACACAATAAAAAAAAAGATTTTAAAAAAAGAAAGGAAGACAAAAAAAAGTGAAAAAGGGGGAAAAACCAAAGAGAGAGAAGAGAGAAGGCTTGCCATTTGGTGGTTTAAGAAAAAGAAGACTTGATTCTTTTATGTATTGTTAGATATATGAGTACTTTACGTACATAATTAAAGAATTTTCATAGTATTATATTTCCTCAACAAATATAATAATGGGCAATCATTAAATTTGTTATTAATAAAATATTGCATTAATTTTATTTCTCATAAAATTTATGATTACAGAAATGCTTTTTTTTTGGAAGGGTTACTGAAATGCTTTTGAAACATCTATTCTAACAATATGTCTCTGTACAATCTAGTAAATTCCCAATTTTATAGTCGAAAGAAGTTCTTTAGAAAGGAGAATCTCTTTGATGATGACAAACTCCCGGTTTCCTTAAACTTAAAATTTATGAGCTTCGACAATTCAATACTAACATTGCGAAATCATGAGCGCCTACTTGGTTTTGAAGCTTTCCTAGATTCACCGATGCACCAAAAGGATTTGAGAAATGTTAACGTCAATTATTTTGTCACTTTTTTTTTATCACTTTCTACATTTAATATTTGACATGTACATTCTACTAACATGATATATTATCATTTAAATAGAAAATGAGATAGTGAAATTCATGTGTCAAATAATAAATGCAGAAATTAATAAAAAGAATGACAGAAAAAATGACGCTAATATTTTTCAAATAATTCTCTTGGTTGCCACCAAATGACGCACAAGGTTTCAAGTATCTTTACTACACAAAATGAATTGAGTCCTAATATTCTTAGCCTAAATGACCTTAAATTTGAGGGTTTAAAGGCTCTTCTTTTCCGCCTTATTTTCCAACAATACAGGTGATGACTCAAGAATCATCCAAATTGTAGCATCCAGGAGCAACATCCTACAGCCGATAGAATTGCTCTATCCAATCAAGGCTTGTTTCTCAACAAACTCCCTTGTGGCAGATGGAAATCCTTAGGCCCCAAGATCAATTAGCCCCGTCGATTAGAAACGATAATAAACATTTCAGAAATTTGCTCAGTTTTTTGTGTCCCTTTTTTTATTATTATTATTTTTTATCTGTCACCTTATTAAATGACGTGATTTTTTTAACTAACATGACATAATATTTAAATTGACACAATATTTTAGCTAACGTGTCTAATATTATTGAAGTGACATTAAAGGATGCATAAATAAAAAAATACGGAGTCGAACCATCGTAGAAGGCTTCTCAAGAAATCCTTTCTCTCACTCACTATAGGTGACTCATGGATGGTGGAAACACTCTAGGTTTAATTTGGAGGATAAAAAAATAAAAATAAAAACACAAATAATTAATGCTTTTGTCAACAAGCAGGGCTCAGCTTCAACATTCTATTTCCAAGCTAGGTACAATTAAAAACCTACCCGGCTCAATAATTTTAGGGTGTGTTTGGTTAGGTAGAAATGAAATGAATAGAATATAATGGAATCTAAATATTATGTTTTGTTGGATTTATATAAAAAGAATGATTATTCAGAAATAATGGTCATTCACCTATTTTGGATAAATCATCATTCCTTCCTCATATGAGAGGAATAACCATTCCATGCTCTTTTCTTCTTTTTTTTCATAATTATCCTTGAATATTATAATATAACTACAACATATTATATAGTAGCTATATCTTATAATATGTAATATAATATATTATATACTAAAAATATTATGATATAATATAATATAATATATTTATAAATTATAATATATTTATTTAATATTCTATAATAATATGTTATATATT